AAAAAAAAATATACGCCGTGCTCAAGAGCCTGAAAAGATGGTTCATGATAGCATATATAGATTTTTTCGTGATACTGATAGAGGCAGGGAGCCTCAGGTCAAAATACGGTATCCCCCGCCTGCTCACTCTAGTAAACCTCCTGTGGAAAAGCCCACAGCACCTGCAGGCTTGCCAAAGCTTGCAGAACCAAGCTTCAATCTTGGCAACTACCCATCAAATTACCTTTCTAAAGATTCAAAGCTTCAACATCCATCTGAAAGGGTACCCTACTCCCAGTATCATGATCCAAGGGACAAAGCATCTGTTATCATACAGCCAGAAGTGAAATATGAAAAAGCTCCACCTCATTCTTTAAGTCCCAAGCAACGTCCCCCAGAAAGGTCTAGTCCGTACCCACCTGGCTCAGCGTACAAATCACACGATCCATCCCCTTCCCTACACAGAACTAACACCTCGCACCATCCACCTTCTTTGCCTCACAGTGTAGAGTTGACGAAAGCCAGGCAACCTCAGTCATCTCCACATTCTGCTCCTTCACCAGCTCATCCTGATCGCTATTTTCCTCCAGGGGCCAGACCATCACCCACAACGTATACTAATACCCTAATTTCTGCTGGGCTGGTTCCCAATCCAATTCATGTATCCTCTGTTGCTGCAAAGTCCAAGGTTAGCTCGCCTCCGCTCCAGATGTATGGAAAGCCTGGCATTACCACGGGTACTCCTGTTTGTCGTGTTGATTCAAGGCCCACTCAACCTGTTCCTTTAACCAGTAAAGCCCCAGTTACCTGTCCTCCACCTGCTCATTCAGGGAGAGGATCTCTTAGTGAATCCAGGCCTCCAATGCCTTCTCATGAACAGAGGCCTCCCATGGATCGAGGTCCATATGATGCTCGCATCTATCCGCCCACAGTACCTTCGCCACACCACAAGCATGTAGCGGCTCCAGGTCCTCCTCCAGTAAGAATGCCTCCAGCCACATCTCCACATCTTACACCCCCACACATTACTCCACATCCTTCTCCACAGCCAACACAAACACAACCTCTTGACCTAGGCACCCGTGAAGATACTGCATCTCCAAGCAAAAGAAGAACCCAAACACCTACACCACAGGACCCGAAGAAGGCTAGGTTTGAAACCACTAATAATCCGCCATTATTGTCCCGGGTATCAGAACCTAGTCCTCTGTACCCGACTGCTGCCACTACTATTACTACAGTGGAGAACACGGCTGTGGCAGCAAATTTGTCACGTGTAGCAAGCCCAGCTTCACGTCCACCTAGCCAACCTCCCCCTGCTACTACCCCAACATTGCAACGTACAGAAAATTCTTCTTCTCCGGTAACAAATAAAGTACCTGAACCTGAGAAGAGCAGTAGTCCTGGTCCAGTGGGTGGATATGTGCACAAACTTAAAAAAGCTTGGCTTCAGAGACATGAAAATACAGCTGAAATTCTCCCACTTACTACTGCTTCATCAGGTCTTTCAACTAGAGTAGCAACACCACCTCCGGCCAACACTTCTGCACCTTCAAAACCAACTTCATCCACCACAACTACCACCACAACCACCACTACAACTACCACACCAGTCAAGTCAGAATCTAAACCTGTTGCACGTAAGCCAAAAGTTGTGAATAACATACCCAATGGGCATAGTCAAGATATGAAAGATGGAGAGTCAAGCTCTACAGACTCTGAAGGAAGTACTACACAGAAGTCTAAACGAGGTAAAGGAAAAAGAAAATTAAAAAAGATGAAAAGAAGTAGTGATAGTAATAGTGACAGTGAAAAAGACAGTGATGCAAGTGAATCTGCTGTTAAGAATTCTGGACGTTTACCATCAAAAATGGATTCTGAGCCAAAAAAGAGAGGAAGAAAGCCAAAGTCAAAACAAGAAAAGGACAAGGAAGATGGTCCAAAACCAAAAAAATCCAAAGAGGAGCTCCCACAAAGTGACCCTCTGCAGAAACCTCCTGTATCTCAGTTAAAGAAAACAGGGGAGAGTTTTTTGCAGGATGGGTCATGCTATGAGGTGGCTCCCAAACTTCCCAAATGCCGTGAATGCCGTTGGACTGCTCACCAGAGAAACAAGAAAATGCCCAACATTTTTTGTCGTTTTTATGCCTTTCGTCGCCTTCGCTATACTAAAAATGGGCAACTTGCAGTTGCTGGCTTTTCTGATCCCATTAAAGATGCATATGGAGAAGACCTCAAACTCTGGGTGCCAGATGTAGATAATCCTCCAAATGACCTTGATGTTGATACCAGCAAGTTCCTGTTGACTCATGTTGGTGACCAGTTTTGTGACTTGGTAGAGCAAGAAAAAGAAGCAATGGCTCTTCACATGGGTGATGGTAAGTTTTTACCTCTTTTTTTTTTTTTATGAACCATTTTAATGGTACAGTTAGTTAACCTGTGCAGCATGAACATGCTGCCTGGTAACTTCTAATTGTGGTCATTTTGTGTCGCTTCAATAGTTGTGATTTTTCTAAAGAATTTTAATGCAGATGGTAATTATAATTATCATTATTACCTATAATCTTTTTTTTTCCCTCCCCATTTAATTTTATCTAATTACATGTGTTTTCCCTATGCGATTTGTATATTGTAATCATTATTTTATCATTGGTACTTTGTCTAATGATTAGAGGTTTCATGTTTTTTAGTCATTAATCATTTTTGTGTGTAATTTACTTAAGTTTTAAAAAATGTAAATGCTTATGTTTTTATTGTGTTTTCTTTGTTGCAGGTGTAATGATGTTTTTATTGCAAATTATTTAGTAGCTAGTGTTCTTACTTTTTTATTACCTATGAATTCCTGAGAGCAATAAATAACTTACTTTAAGAATATCTAACATATTCTTTCCCAGAAATTAGTTTGATAGTATTTACAGTTTTTCCAATGATTTCCTGACATGTCTGTATGGACGTTGGTCTTCCGTATACTCTCTGTTTTTCCACTTTGTTCTAGGCCTTCCCATTCGTATTCTTTTTTATCCTACTTGAATGCAGTCATTCTAGTAGTCTGTGTAAGGTGTTAGATAATTTTTTAAAGTTTCACAACAGCATAAAAGTATATGAAAGACTGGAACTGTTAACAGACATGAGACAACCCAGTGTTCTTGTTCTGTACTGCAGTTCCTCTTGTAATAAAAATGATTTCTGGTTTAGTAATAATTTTCTATATTTTAACCTTTTTCTGGCAACTTTTTTGTAGTCTCGCCTTAAAATGTGTATTTTTTTTATTTGATTTTCCACATATGTTTTCCTCATATATATAAAAATAAATGTTTGTAAAAAGTTATTTTTTTTTTATTAACACACTGGCCGATTCCCACCAAGGCAGGGTGGCCCGAAAAAAGAAAAACTTTCACCATCATTCACTCCATCACTGTCTTGCCAGAAGGGTGCTTTACACTACAGTTTTTAAACTGCAACATTAACACCCCTCCTTCAGAGTGCAGGCACTGTACTTCCCATCTCCAGGACTCGAGTCCAGCCTGCCGGTTTCCCTGAACCCCTTCATAAATGTTACTTTGCTCACACTCCAACAGCACGTCAAGTATTAAAAACCATTTGTCTCCATTCACTCCTATCAAACACGCTCACGCATGCCTGCTGGAAGTCCAAGCCCCTCGCACACAAAACCTCCTTTACCCCCTCCCTCCAACCTTTCCTAGGTCGACCCCTACCCTGCCTTCCTTCCACTACAGACTGATACACTCTTGAAGTCATTCTGTTTCGCTCCATTCTCTCTACATGTCCGAACCACCTCAACAACCCTTCCTCAGCCCTCTGGACAACAGTTTTGGTAATCCCGCACCTCCTCCTAACTTCCAAACTACGAATTCTCTGCATTATATTCACACCACACATTGCCCTCAGACATGACATCTCCACTGCCTCCAGCTGCAACATTCATCACCCATGCTTCACACCCATATAAGAGCATTGGTAAAACTATACTCTCATACATTCCCCTCTTTGCCTCCGAGGACAAAGTTCTTTGTCTCCACAGACTCCTAAGTGCACCGCTCACCCTTTTCCCCTCATCAATTCTATGATTCACCTCATCTTTCATAGACCCATCCGCTGACACGTCCACTCCCAAATATCTGAATACATTCATCCTCCTCCATACTCTCTCCCTCCAATCTGATATCTAATCTTTTTGTTATCCTCATAACCTTACTCTTTCCTATATTCACTTTTAAATTTCTTCTTTTGCACACCCTACCAAATTCATCCACCAACCTCTGCAACTTCTCTTCAGAATCTCCCAAGAGCACAGTGTCATCAGCAAAGAGCAACTGTGACAACTCCCACTTTGTGTGATTCTTTATCTTTTAACTCCATGCCTCTTGACAAAACCCTCGCATTTACTTCTCTTACAACCCCATCTATAAATATATTAAACAACCACGGTGACATCACACATCCTTGTCTAAGGCCTACTTTTACTGGGAAATAATCTCCCTCTTTCCTACATACTCGAACTTGAGCCTCACTATCCTCGTAAAAACTCTTCACTGCTTTCAGTAACCTACCTCCTACACATACACCTGCAACATCTGCCACATTGCCCCCCTATCCACCCTGTCATACACCTTTTCCAAATCCACAAATGCCACAAAACCCTCTTTAGCCTTATCTAAATACTGTTCACTTATATGTTTCACTGTAAACACCTGGTCCACACACCCCCTACCTTTCCTAAAGCCTCCTTGTTCATCTGCTATCCTATTCTCCGTCTTACTCTTAATTCTTTCAATAATAACTCTACCATACACTTTACCAGGTATACTCAACAGACTTGTCCCCCTATAATTTTTGCACACTACTTTTGTCCCCTTTGCCTTTATACAAAGGAACTATGCATGCTCTCTGCCAATCCCTAGGTACCTTACCCTCTTCCATACATTTATTAAATTAATTGCACCAACCACTCCAAAAACTATATCCCCACCTGCTTTTAAACATTTCTATCTTTATCCCATCAATCCCGGCTGCCTTACCCCCTTTCATTTTACCTACTGCCTCCGAACTTCCCCCACACTCACAACTGGCTCTTCCTCACTCCTACAAGATGTTATTCCTCCTTGCCCTATACACGAAATCACAGCTTCCCTATCTTCATCAACATTTAACAATTCCTCAAAATATTCCCTCCATCTTCCCAATACCTCTAACTCTCCATTTAATAACTCTCCTCTCCTATTTTTAACTGACAAATCCATTTGTTCTCTAGGCTTCCTTAACTTGTTAATCTCACTCCAAAACTTTTTCTTATTTTCAACAAAATTTGTTGATAACATCTCACCCACTCTCTCATTTGCTCTCTTTTACATTGCTTCACCACTCTCTTAACCTCTCTCTTTTTCTCCATATACTCTTCCCTCCTTGCATCACTTCTACTTTGTAAAAACTTCTCATATGCTAACTTTTTCTCACTTACTACTAGTTATTTTTGAGGTATGAAAATGACCAACTAATTTTGTGTTGCTTGATGAAAAGCAAACATTAATAATATTAACATAAAAAGTTAAGTGATATATGACATTAGTAAAATGGGCTTCAGGAACTGCACTTTACCCCACTTTTAATAAACCCATTTTTAAAAAATTTTTTAGGAAAAAAACTTAAAAAAATTTTGTGTTCAGTGAGAAACCTTTTACAAGCTAGGGGGCTCTTTTTTTTTTTTCATAAACATCAAAAAACAGGAAAACTTTGTTATATTGTCATTTTTTCCCGATACTGTAGTGGCGGGGAAAAACGGTTTTGAAAGGGAGTTCGTAAAAAGGGGGGTGGAGGGTTTGTAAAAACAACTTTAAATTCAATTTTTCTTTGGGGGTTTGCAAAAATGGGGGAAATTTGGGGTTTTGCAAGATTTGTTACAAGGTCAAAAAAATTTGGCTTTTAAAGGTGTGGGATGAAGGGGGTTTTAAAGATCGTGATGAATATAGGGGCTTTTGTGTGCTTCTAGACTTCCTAAAGAGAAAGAAAAAAAATGATGTTTACCCAGATTTATTGGTAATGCACTTCTTGATCTGGGTAGGAAAGTGATGAGGGTGCGGCATAAATTGGGGAAATTCCCTCAGTATTCCCGAGTGTGTAGAGGCTAAAAAGTACAAAGGACGGGGGAAATTTAAAGAGGGACAAGAAAAAAGTCAATGGGGTCCCCCAAAGTTTGTAAAGGATATTAAGAAAAAACCCCAAAGACGAAATTGTTTAAGGGAATTTTTAAAGGGAAAGAGAAGCCCAGAGAAACCAAAAAGGGGCAAAGTAGAGAGGGAAAAAAATTTCCCCTCAATTTTTTTTTGCTGATGTTGCATTATCCAAGGGACAAACGTGGGGGTTTTGAGGTGAGTGGGAAAGGAGATGTTTGTATGTGGTGTAAAGGGGTTTAAAAAAATGATGATTTGGGAAAATGAGAACTTGTGCAGCATTTGAGAATTTTAATTTTTAAAAAATTTTTTTTTCCCAAAGCCATTAAACTTTTCGGGTTCCAAAAAGAGAACAGGGGAAAAAATAGAGGAGTTTGAGGTAATCACCCCCTCGGGCCGGGTATTTTTTCAAAAGATTGTTTGGCCCGAACACATCGACTCCAGTAAAAAGGGGATAAATTACCTCAAACTCCTCCTCCTCCCCTCCTCCCCCTTCATTTCGGTTTTCTCTGTTTTTGGACTAAAAAAAACCCCACTGGCTGGCAAAATATTTCCACTTAACTTTTCCCCCAAAAATGTGCGCAAGTGTCTTACGTTTTTATTTACAGAAGTTTTTTGTAAATTTTTTTCGATTCTTGTTGGGATCTTTTTTATTTAATAGCCCTTAATGATCCTATAATTTACCTTTTAATGTGTTTCAGTAGAGAACGGAAAAAAGGATTTATGAGGGATTCCGGGGGAACGGCTGATATTAAATCAAGTGCGGGAATTAACCCCTTGATCTCTAAAATTCAGTAACTTGTATGCAGTGGGGCCCCCACTATTCGGCGGGTTAGGTTTCCAAAAACCCAACATCCCCGGGAAAGCAGAACCCCAAATTTTTTTCCATTTTTAAATCCCAGGACAAAAATTTTTTATGATTTGGGCTTTTAAGTTTGTAAGTTTTGTGGGAAAAGGAGGTGAGAAAGTCTTTTTTTTAGGAAATGGTGTAGGTACCCCCGGCTCCCTGCCCCAAAAACTTTAAAAACGTTTTTTAAAGCAGCCCAGAGAGTTTAAAACCCACATACAGTACTTTCCCTTAAATTTACCTTAAATAGGGTGTGTCTTAAGTAGGATGAGGGTGAGTAGTATTTTTTTTTGTGGAAGTCGGGTTTGGAGGTTCCCATTTGGGTTTTTTTTTTTTTTTCCCAACAAGGGGGGCTGTCTCCCCCCG